AAAAAAAAAAAAAAAAAAAAAAAACATTTGCCGATGTGTTTTTAAAACACCATACTTGGAAAAGGCCATGGGCCATGGTAAGCAAAATTGAAATGGCAAAGTTGCTGTGGCAGACAGTGGTGAAAGGGAATAAAAGGTTCAGGGGCATGGGCATGCTGAAATTTATATACTCCATGCATCTGGAAGCCCCTCCAGATGATATTCCACAGGAAAATGTAAATAAAACATCATTTACAAAGGTCATTAGACATAGGGTGATGAAAGGGGCACTAATGTCACTAAAATATTCAGTGATAGCTCATCTCTGTAGGCAAGAATGACAAAGGCTGTTCCAGAACTTGGCTGGGTGATAACAATGATGATGATGGGATCCTAAAACAAAAGAGGCCATTCTGGGACATAATGGGGACAACAACAAAAACCAAGAAGCCAAAGGTAACATTTAACTGACAGAAGTCGGAGGATTGCAAGTATAGTAGTCAGCAGGGTCTGAGCAGCGGCCAAGGAGGCCTCACTTGTATGGTTATAGAACTGGTTAATAAACATGGCATCCCTGGAGGCAAAATAGATAGGCAGCTAGGAAGAGTACTACACAGCTGGGGAAAAAAAAAAAAACCCAGAGATGGTAACCTGTACCTGTAATCTCAGCATTTTGGGAAGCTGAGGTGAAGGGATCACTTGAGCCCAGGAATTAAAGGTTACAGTGAGCTGTGGTTGCACCACTGCACTCCAGCCCGGGCAACACAGCAAGACTATCTCAAAAAATAATTAAATTTAAAAATGAAATGCTTATCCCAGTTTTAAAAAATCAGGATTTCATGCCCAGTTTCTGGAACTGAGCCAGTTTTCAGAAATGGAAACATTACTGAAGAGGTGGCCAAATATCAAGAAGGACCTGTGGCAGTACAAGTGTACACAGAAATGACTCCCCAGGTACTTTTCTAAAGGGTCTGATAGCCATTTCTTTTGATAACTACATCTTGGAGAAAAGTGATTAGCTAAATGTTTTGAAGACTTGTGGATACAGGGTCTCAACTGGCATCCAGACACCTAGAGTATCATCCCCTTCTGTCAGTGGCTGCATATGGTGGCCAGGTAATTGATGGAGTCCCGTTCAAGGTCTAGTTTGCAGTAGACCCATACACGTACTGGACTGACTTAGTGATCATTTTCTTAGACTTTGAGTGAATAATTCGCACTAACATACTTGGCAGTTAATGCTCATTCCAGGTCCCTGACTATAGATAGAGATAACAAAATGTAAAAGGCCAAACAGAAACCTGAAACTGCCCCATGCCCTAACAAGATCATAAAACAATTATCACATCCAAAAGCAAGAATGGCAGAGGTTAAGTGTCACTTCTAAGAATCCAACTGATACAAAGTGGTGCTTACCAGCACCCGTTATTAGTTTTATCTCTGTTGTTAGACTAAGTACCCCTCAGACTCAACCTTTCATCTTTATTTCTTGCCTATCCCATTTTCCAAAGGCTTGCCCTTCTTTTTCCGGAAGGAGGGTTCTAACTATGTCCCTTGCCCTTTTGGAGGTGTCTCTCACTTCTCTTTCTTTTGCTTTGTTCTCTCCTGCCCCTAGGCCATATGAAAGGATCACAGATCTTGCTGAGAGGAACCATTTACAAGGGAACTTAGGCATGCACATTCACACTTAACCTCTAGAATTGTGACCACCAAGGAAGTACTTTGTCACCCTTTGTGACGTTTCCTACCTTAGTCTGTGCACAGAGTTTGAAGCCTTTTTCCCTGCGTTGCTGAGAGACCTGGTTGATTTATTCCTCACACCATGTGGGTGCACTAGATGGAATACCTAACCGTAAGGCACCAATGACCATAAACTACCAAGTCATAAAATCACTTAGGCCCAACAACAGTCCCTTTTAATATGGAAGTAGTGTATTCAAGATTGAGCATGAGAATGTACCGAGATTACCAAATGAGCTGCAGAGCACAGATGCACATGACTTCCACTACTGTTTTATCAGCCGCAGTGTCATTTCACACCTGTGACCAAGTGGGGGCGGCCTTACAACCAGTTGCTGGGAGTAAAAATTGTGAGCATGGTGCCTAAATGGGTCGGCTTAGTATGAGTTTAAAATGAAAATAGCTACATTACAGCCTCCTCAGGTGTGACCTTGAAAAATGGTGGTAAGGGCATATCCTCTCAGTTGGCAGAATTTCAGGCAGAGCTAGTCATCCACCTTTTTGTGGAAGAAGTGGCCCAAGGTGAGACTATACATGGGATC